ACTGTATTGTTCTCAGATTTTAAGCAAATACGCAAAATTGTGTATGATTGAGATAAAGTAATTATAATGATAAATACAATCAATGTTATGTAAATTTATTACACAACAAACTATAGTAACAACGTAAACTTAAAATTTGACAGAAATGTAACTATTTACTGAAAATAAATAAGTAGTATAAAACAATACACAAAAGAGTCGAGGGGAAGACAAGAAGAATAGAGAATGTTAAACAGACTTAACTCAAAAATAAAAGGTCAACTACACTGGAAATGGTGTAAGAGAAGACAAGGATTATAATAGGACTATAAATAATAATGTGAACACAGTTTGAAACCTAGTCGCTCTGGAATATAATCCAATATTGCCAGTGTAGGTTTAAGGTGAGAACAAAGTGTTTTTGAATACACAAAGGGGATTTGAATTTTCGTGATCAGATTGTTCGAAATGTATTGTGCTAATATATCACATAGTTCTGATAATCTTCGTTATCATTGAAATTTATCAAAGGTACTAATTGCTTTGTAACAAATTCACAATTAATTATAACATCAATCTCCAATGTTTTACATACTCTTGTTTGTGAAGTTTAAAAAATGTTCCAAACCCAACCAACACCATAATGTGTAGCACAAAATGACACAAATTGCATGAATAGACAGAGTTAAGATCAGTGTGTATGTATGTTGAAATGTAGTAAGGCAGAGGCAACTATTCGAATTACTAAGCAAAGTTGGTTGGTGGCTGGTAGTGAAATCCAGAACGCGCGTTTCGTCCTATTTGAGACCCGTCAGCTAGATGTACCTTCATCCCAGAGTTGATTTTCGAGTCATGGAGTGAAAATAAACTATCGGAAGCAGGCAAACTGTTAGCCACTATCCATTTTTGCTAGTAATGCTTGTAAATTAGGCAATATCGAGGCGATAAGCACATTATGTACATATACCGATAAGACACTGATCCATTGCAGTCCTAAATATCAATGTGAAGATTTAAACAAACTATATAAACTGTAATTAACTTCTTTTATTTAACTGGACTGAGTAGACTTGAACGTTAACACAATTGAAGTGCTGTAGTAAATGAGTTCAAAAATAGTGATCGCTTACCACTTATACTCGAAAACAAGGAACCACTGCAATTCCCACGACGCGAAAATAAGATGACAAAGACTGATGCAAGTGAAGATTTATTAAGCACCAAAACATTTCGATGACCGCCCTAGTCGAAAATACACTCATTTATATATTGACTGTATACTCGTTTTTTTAATAATTAGGAAAAAATCACATATATGAAAAATACTTACAGTTATAACAAATCACATGCTGAGTGTAGTTCATGTTAACTTAATACAAGAATATCGTATGTTATACAGAATAAAATATCACGCTGGGAAACAGAAACAGAAACGGCATTGAGTAATCATCACATTGAATTAAAACAATGTCAGTCAGCAACAACGTAGGAGTAGGCATATATATGCGTTTGTCCAAGTTGCCATACCTCATCAGGATAAAACGGAATTAATGTTGAACAAAAATCATGATATGTAAATCAATCTTATTATAACTTTTCATCCCGTCACATCAATCACTTCTTGTCATGTGTCTGTCATTTCATATTACAAATTAGGTTTAGCAGGTGATTAATCACTAATTCATGACATGACTATTCTGTAATTTCCAAGAATTCTCCAAAGACATGCATCCAATCAGCACCAACAAACGTGTGAATCACTTGAGCTACAATCTCTTTTGAAACTAATTTTATCAAACTAATTTAGATTCACAATTAACATATCTCATATTTTGCGACTGAATATTGTTCTCAATATTGGACTTAATTGGTGAGTATGGATGACAAGACCTAAAGACAAAATAGTGATTACTTTCTCACCAAGTGTTCAAACCGTCGTTTTCAAGGATAACTGCCACTATATTTTCACAGGCGGGACTCACTCATGTACTATGTATTATGTAATGTTATCGAAATTTCACAATGCTTACAAGAAGCCGAAAATCCAGAGAAATGTGAAGCACAACAAAATAAAAATTTTCAATAGTCCCTTGGAGTAGCTGCACGCAGATGTTGCCGGCCCAGTACGAGGAAGAATGTTTTTAGTCATGGTGGACACACTCACGAAAAATGACCACAAATTTATGCCATGGTAAATTGCACAGCCAGTGAAACAATCAGCAAGTTATCTGAACCGCTTAGCTGCTTCGTAGTTCCGGAATCATTATTGTTCGACAACGGCTCACAATTCACTTCAGAATCATTCAAGCACTACTGTAGCATTAATGGAGTAACACATTTATACTCTCCACTTATCACCCTCAATCAAATGAAAAGAAGGAGCGGTTTGCTGACATACTTAAAAGAGCATTAGTGAAAGAGTGGACGAAAGAACAAATCTGGTAATCACGAAATTCTTAACAGCTTACAGAACTACACCTAACCCTATTGTTCCAGATAGGAAGACTTAGCTGAATTTATATGTGGAAGAAGTACTAGGACTACATTCAGCGCCATGTTGTCACCTAGAGTAATGGATATGTGCGGACAAATTCAGAATATGCGAAGTTCTAATGTAGGTGATAAGGTCACCATTAAGTCATACAATTGGTAAAATCGATGAGGATCTGGAATTTTCGAAGAGAGAATATGAAACGTTTTGTAGAAAGTGCATGTGACATTCAGAAAATGGATTAGATACATCAACCAAACACATTGATTAAAAAGGACATTGAACAGGGCTGACAGGTAAGTGAGTCTTCTACGGGAGATAATCACAAATGTTCCAAGTATAGGAACTTCGGAGGACACAATGAAGAACAATAGGGGGGAAGTTCGAAGTCGAGGACACTAAGGAGTTTGGATTGCCGTCGAAAACCGTTCATGGGGCTGAATGTAGTCCCGAAGATATATTGTTTTTTGAAAGGACGGTGCTGGGGAAACCGTCATGGAATACCTGAAAGCACTGGATGGTCGACTCATCCCATTTTGGGATTGCTCAGCAGCGCGCATTTACGATCCCGCCTCTCGAGATTCAAACTCAGACCTATCAAACTGATAGATAATTTTATAATAAAAGATTACGTCCGTATGTTGTAACTTTTAGAGAACATATACACAGTACTGAGGATTTCAGTTCGTTAATAGTTGAGATCATGAGTCAAATGAAGCTAGATTATAATGGAAAACCTGGAGGTATTTCCTCGAGTTCTAGTGAGAAGCAGTGTCCAATCGAGTTTAACCGCGTATGTTGTGAGATAGTAACTAACTCAAGACAATGGTGGATGTATTGCTCAATTTCGTGGATTGGTTGAAGTTAGATATAACAACATTTGGATGCAGGCTCAGTGGTGTAGAGTTTGATCGCACGCGCGCACGACTCATAGGTACTGTGTCGGAGTCTCGTGAAGCGGGGTCGTAGACGCGCACCGCTGAGGAGTCCCACAATAGGATGAAACGGCCGTTCAATTGACACATGATCTCAACTATTGAAATTACTATAATATCCACAAAAATCCCTTCTGGTATATGTAATTATGAGATTGTAAAGCAAATATATAAATAGTTACTTTATTGACATTATGAACTTCACGACGCATCGCAACTATCAATAATTGTCATCAGTTATACCTCAATACGATTAAAATGCAACAGTAAATCATGTATACATAATTCTCGATAATATTTTTTCTGTGTATTATATAATCAATTAAGTACATCAGTAATTATTATCGGCTTATGGAATTCATTGAAAATCACTTTCAAATGTGGACATTAATATTGCAGCATCAGAATAACTTCAAACCTATGGGATAGTCATTTATTTGTGATCGTTGAATCTCATTTTTTACAGTTGTATATGTATGCACAAATAAACTTTAGTGAGACTTCGTTTTGTCTCCCAATGTCAACACTTTTCTGCAACGATCAGTGATTCCTTTTGTCGACAGAATGAGAGATAGAGATGCTCTGAATACTGAACAATTGACATTACAATGATATTTCATCAATGATCACTGAAATAATCATGCTTAAATGCATGGACATTACAATACACTATTTATGAAGAGATTTATCACGATTTATCTTGATATAATAATAATAATACCTTGAGACGAAAAGGTGAACTAAGAATTCTTATCCCAAAATCAGCGTGGTCGTTGTTGAATATCAGTGAAGAGAATGAATGTTCACTTGAATCAGTCTTTGATGTTGTTACTTTGAGTCTTGGAAATTGTAGTGGTTCTTTGATTTTGGGTATAAGTAGTATGGCTACAAGGATATAATACTACTTAATAGTAGTCGAGTAAAATGTACATTCTTCATCAGATAAATCATATAAGCGTAAACTACTGTATTATAACGGCTAATAAAAGTATTATATTTATGCGCATATGCCATTAATACATGCTGAGCAATTTACAAATGTATTGATTCTCGTATCTCATCGATAAAACTAAGGAATCAACTGGCATTCTAATTTGAACACGTAACAGTAAATGTCTTCACGAAATATGTAAATATAGTTTGACGAAAACATCTATTGTGTCGTGGCTGTTAGTTACATATTATCCCTATTTGAATTACACTTTTCCTTGAAAGAGCGATGTTATAACTCTGTGTTCCGATACAACTGAATTGTATTTGAGAAATTCGACCTAAGTGATTGAGTAAATTCAAGACATTGTTTACTTAATTTGTGATTCATTCAGGAATGAATTTACTCAACGTAATGTAAGAAATATGCACTAAAATCTGTAGATCATATGAAGATATTCACGAATGTGCTTGTCTCTCACTCCTTTCGCTTAATCTTCCTATATGTTCACCTACATTTATAAGAGACTTGATTCATACTAATGTGAATAAATCGTTTGTTCAGGTAGTAAGATTGTTTAATATTTTACGCGATGGTTATATACTACTGATTAATTCACCAGTAGCTGGTGTAAAAACATAAAATTCTCAGAAATGATTTTGTTCAGCGTATAATTTATTACAGATGGAATAAAATCGAACAGATTGGAAATGTCTGAGTGAGAAATCTCATTCCAAATCCATTTGTACTTGAACACAAATTTAGTCTCAAAAGGGTCACATTTACCTCCTTATAAACAGTAAAACTACCAACACGGCGTGCTATTCGTCTCGTTGATGGTATTGATGAAATCTACAATGCCTACCAAATATAAATTATTTGATAAATCGATGTAAAAGAGAGTATACAGTACTAATACTGCCAACGTCCAATGTGGAAAGAAGACCCGCACTTCTGATTTTCCAACAGTAAATTGACTGAAACAGATTGTTATCTGTTAGGAGAAATTCAAAAATATACGTGTCAGGAATTTCGACTAAACCAAAAGCTGATTGTTAAATTATTCCACAAATAACACATGCATATATTAACACTAAAAATATTACATTGCTAAAATGTGTCATTGAAACACAGATCTACATCCATATGCAACCAAACAAGTAGTATTTTTAGTCTTGCAAGTAAATGCAAATATATGTAATGGTAATCCAAGTTTACGTTTAAGAGAATAATGTCTATTACTTAAAACTAGAAGAAAGAGTGAAGCATGATATTAAGTGAATGAATATACTATTCACATTCACACTTCAACAAACTGCTACTATGTGCATACAGTAGCAAATTCTCTTATCATTCTAAACGACTGATTGTACAGTTGACCAATTAGGAAGACTAGTTTTGCTGTGTATATAAATACATAAGTGCATGTTACTCACAAGAAATAGTAATATGTCAGCACCTACATCGAGAGCGATCAGTGCAACCTAAAATCCAAAGAGAAGTTAACATTTAACAAATGGATATGATGTAGACATTTATCAATATCAAAATGTGACTGAATCAAATGAATTGAACTGCATATTTAGGTAGAACTCATCTTTGAACTTCTGTAAACTCACACTTTTACTGTTTAAAAGAAGAATAATGCATATTATGTAATGAAGAGAATTGATTTCAGTTCGCCTGTTCCAAATTGTTCAACATATCATCTTGTATGTATAGGCGAACAGTTCAGTACTGTTGAAGGTAATTACGATTACTTTCAATTTAAGGATGAAAGAAAGACGTTTAGATGAAGACCGTGATTTCATCGTGTACAAGTGTCATGCACATAGTGTTGCGGTCACGGTAGTCAAAAGTGAAGAAGTTTATTGGTTGAATATGTGAATGGAGGAAGTATTATTGAGTAGTCCTTGTTAGTGAAATATGTAGACCTTACACACAAAACTCTATTATTAAAATCTTTCATTCATTCATGGAAATCAATGTGCATGTTGAAGATTATGATCAAATGAATTGATGTGTGATTACGTAACGCATTCTGCTGTTATCGAGAAACGTATTACACGGTGAAAATTATCCAACGTAGTTGAACGTAGTCAATAATTCTTAAAAATTCTATCGAATCAATTCTTTGTTCATTATTTTCCCAAAACTGATTACTGACCTAGTTGAGATAATTATTATGAAGTATGTCACTTAGAAAACTTTTATGATTCTATGTACATTGATAAGTAAATGAATTCAAATGCTTTCTGAAAACAAACCAACTACATAAGCGTTTATTTAAATTGAACGCTTGTGAGTAGACTCAGTATTCAATTGTCATCTACTGTGTATCGGGAGTATTGTCCAAGCCATCTGTGTTTGAAGTGTGTGTTTATTTCTCATGGATTCGCATGAAACAAACGGTCATATGAAGAATAATTAGTTTGCTAATAAAACAGTTTCACTCATTGACATACCCAACGCCCTAAAACATAAAATACAATCGCAGCTGCCACAAAAGCAATGGAAAGAATCACAATATACGTTAGAATTAACAGGAAATGATCAGCTAATCGTGTTTGGATTGCAGCTCCAATGAATATGGAACAAATAAAAGATATCAATGTGATTGCGATGGCAGTTACTTTCAAGTAGACGCATAAATTTAAAACCGAAATTCCAATCGCTGTACCGATCCATATCGACTGAAATGTAACACAATTCAATAAAAGTTAAATCAGTGATCAACGTTTAGTTAACTTCATACAGAAAGGTTTTTGTACAATATCTATCGTCATACATCATGTGTTTACTAGATTATGGTAAGAAAATGTTTACAAGACAGCTGATGTTTATTTTCTAAACTCAAATAGATTGCTTTAATTTTCATGATATCATTTTCCTGAAAACAATAATGACTTCCGTAATTCAAAAGTCGTTCCATATCTAAACAACATAGGAAGACACGGACGTGTGTTCTTCCCACCTGAACATACATTTCAACAATGGTATTCAGGAAATACATTGTGTAAAGTCATCCAACTTGTGACAACGTATGAACAGTCACTCTTGAAGTTTATATATGTATATATTATCATTGTACGGTGTATCTCAACTGATATTTTCGTAATGAGAAAGATACGAACCTACAAATTAAATCTCTATTCCACTTACTTCATACTACAGTGGGAAAGTGTATGCATTTATAAAACTGTAAGTCCAGAAGTAACGTCAGTCGTTAATGTTGAGTGGGCAATTTCCATAAAGAAACACTATTCAATATTCCTAGATTGTGCTTAAGTATAAAGGCAAATAAATATGCAATTTTCCAAACATTCTTGTTTGTGAAGTGCAAAATCGATGGTTTGAATGATTTCTACAAGACAAATATAGATGAATGAAACAATGTGAACCACTTCAATTGATGAGCACTTGAGAGTTACATTATAAATAATTTTTAATACAGTTTTTCTCAAATCATATGTACATCATTGTCTAATGAAAAGTTCAAGTGTTAAAGTAAGTGTATAGATATGGATTCATCTTGAAATATTTGTCCTGAGGATCATTGTTTACTGCATATTTGCTTTTTAATATCGGTAAAAATGTGAGTGGAACTGAGTTCTCTCATACTTTGTTGCCTGACTTGTTTGATGTTCATAGATCAAAGATAGATTGTTCTTGAGATCAATAAGTTAGCTCTATTTACATACACTATATCATAATAAGGAATCATATTATATTCATGAGTGTAATCACAGTCCTAGTTAAACACAAATTTTCATCAAAGAAGGGTTGGGGAGTTTATTAAGTTATTGATTGAGATCATGAATCGGTTGAAAGACCGTTTAGTATTATTGTGGGACTTCTCAGCAGTGCGCACACATGATTCCGCCCGCAGGATTCGAACCCACGGACTTCAGTCTCCCGCTCGAACGCTCAAGCTACTAGACCACTGAGCCGGCATCCAACGGTGATAATGTCTAACTTCAAACAATCCACAAAATTTAACGATCATCTTCGATTGTACTGAGGTAGAAACCTGTCTCTACCTAACACGGATTAGCTCCACTGGTCACGGCTATCTCACTAGAACTCCGAGAATTCCCTCATGATTTCAATCAATAACAAATTTTCATGTATTTAAAAGGTTCAACAACTGGTAAAGTAAATACGAAAATCGACAGTTCTTACGTAAATAACCAGAAGATAGATATTCAATGGATGTTCATCTCTTATTTTTTGATAAAATATAATCAACATTGCTAATGCAAAAGCAGACCAACTACAAAATAGATCAAAATGAATTAGTGTAATATTGAAATGTCATTGTCATATGAATGTACTTCTAAACAAAAGTCAAACATACTAAATAAAACCACTCATTATCACAATATGAGCGAATAGTTGAGATAAAGCTATTCAGATGATTCATTGTTCATGCCTGATATTAGACGAGAATAGATAATTTTATCTTGGTCAATTATGAATGTTCCAGATATATTTTGATTACTGTCTTGTGTTTCTAAGTAGCGGTTCTATTCAATCCAAATGGTCTGACTGAATATAATTTTGACTAAGGGGTGATGACAACACTAAATAAAATGAGGCTTACAGTTTAACAATAATATATAGTTTAGAAAATTAAGACAAGCATCATATAGTATAGAAAACGTGAACTATGGTTTATTATGAATTTTAATATAGGTTATAGGATTTTTTGAATGACAAGGCATATACGAATGGTAAAGTTATCGTTATTCAGATAGTATGCATGTCCGACTGTATATTTGACAATCAGTGACTGACAGCTAACACTAGTTTCCAGAATTCATTATCCGTGCATAATTCGATATTTCGATTCAACACCAATCATATTTTCACCATTGTCTTTGAAATACTTGAATTAAAGTAATAATAAGTTGATAATTTGAAACCAATTGACTGGCCATATGCCTAAACATCATTTAAGTGTGTCATGCTGTCCAAGTATCAGAATACGAATGAACCACAAGCATACTAGGTCATATCATTCTACAGTTTAACGAAAGATTCTATTCAAATGCTGGATTGATATAATGAGTTGGTTCTAAATCTGTGTTAATGAAATAATAAACAAAGAGTTCTCTTTCCTGATTTTATGTCTGAATGGGTATATTCCGTTTAATGAAATAGTTGTCTCTCCTTTATAGGCTCTTCTTCATTATAGATGTCAACCAGCATCGAACTTGATTCGATATCACCAAACAAAATGCGTCAAACAATCTGATAATAAATATCATATAATACGTTTACACAACTCAAAACCTGGTTGTCAAGTTATGTAACACTTAGACAATTCAATGACATTCACACATAAGATGAAGGAACTCACTCTTACTAACGTAATAATGACAGATTAATGTTTAATATTAAACATTTGATTGGAATATAAAAAGAGAAATGACATGAAAATGTTCAGTACTACATCATTGAATGGTTTTATGAGATGACCATGCTATGAAATGTGAGTATAATGCTTTTTAACGTTAGTTCAATTTCAGATGTGCATTACTCCCTATTGTTTACTATGTTTTATTATCGGAATTACTGATCATCCACATCCGTCTACAAATGTAATGTGCGATTCAAAACGTGCGTTTTGTTCTATTTGAGACTCGTCAGCTTGATGTACTTGCATAAGACTTAAGGCAGTATCGAGGCGATCCGCATAAGATCCACATATCTGAATAAAAGACTGATCGATCACAGTCCTGAACATATGATGATATATGTTTATGATCTTATAGCTGAGTACACAGACGAATGCAATAAGCAAACTTTCGGAAAACTTTATTAGAATTTGTTTTATTACATTTAACTCAACAGTTGATGATAATGATAAGATTACAATAATAGAAAACGTACGCCAATACCCAAAGAAAAACTGTCCATGAATTCCATAGATATCCATTTATAAATCTACAAAATATTTACTCTTATATGGCTTATTGAATAACTTACAGGATTGATAAGATCATGATAATCAACAGAGTAATAGCAATCTCAATTGAGAGAAATATGAAAACCTGAAATCAATAAAGAACTAAAAGTATTCATTGTATCGTTACCTGTTTCGTATAATATGGTATAATAGAACTATTACTGATGTTATATATATTTGTAATTTTACTTCTTGATTTGTACTTCCATGAACTATTGTAGACATCAGGAAGCATTTTGCGTCAGTGTATCTAGTAATAGGAATAATATGATACCATTTTTTTCAACATGTTCAAAGATATAAATATAATATCAGATGTGTTTTGTGGATATTATAGTATTTTCAATGGTGGAGTTCAACCAGATCTGTTGTGAGATAGTAACTCACTGAAGACAATGGCGGATGTGTCGCTCAATTTCGTGGAGTAGTTGAAGTTAAATATTAACACCGTTGGATGCCGGTTAAGTGCTCGCGTGCGAGACCAGTAGGTCCTGGGTTCGAATCTCGCTGGGGCCCGGGTCGTGTGCGCGCACTGCTGAGGAGCCTCACGATAGGACGAAACGGCCGTTCAGTGCTTCCAGGTTTTCCATGGTCATCTAGCTTCAACTGGTTCATGATCTTAACCATTGAAATTATTATAAATATAAGACGATATGGTATAAAACATTAAATCATTTGTATGTGATCACTATATATCAAACGACGCAGTCGGAGTTCCAATACATGTATTATATATGATTAGGTCTATGTTCTTAAGTTGCATTTATAATTAGTTTATATCGTAAAAGTTGATGATTATTTGGTAATAACTGATCACTGTAAATTTTTCTTTGTTGAAAAAATGGTTACCGTAGGTCCCTAAGTATTCGACTTTCTTGATTGATAATCATAAGTAATACGAGCTCTTTAGCATGTTTCTATTGTAACAATGATTGGTCATTAAAATTCTATTTCTCACAAATTTTAAACTGGAAATAATAACCCAAAAACAAACGATAAAGCCATAAAGAAGAATATCTAGTTACAATTGTATGATATGAACTACTAATATACTCAGAGTATATTCCCCATACTGTAGGATTCTTTTATACATGTGGAAATAATCTCTTACATATGAATCGGTAACAAATAATTTAACGCACATAATGTTGAATGGTAAGGAAATTCTAAGTATAAGCACATCTAAACGTATTCTTTGGTTGATATGTTAAATACTACTAACATAAATCCGTCTGGAACCCCTCTGGAGCTACTGCCGGCTCCAAACCTGAATAAAGGAGGAGGCTTGAGCATGAGGTTAGCGAACCCATCCTGTAGAAAACTAACTCGCTAAAAATACGATAACCAGAAATGAAATACTGCTAACACTAGTATTTTTTCGTTTCCCGAATCGCAGTAAGAGCACGAAGAGAAGACTGAATAAAATTTGATATTTGGCTTGTTCATTGTTTGTATTGAAGTATGTTAATTTAATAGAAAAAACACTGAATAATTAACTGATATTAGTAGTTGAGATTATGAGTCAATTGATGCTAGATCACCAAGGAAAACCTGAAAGCACTGTACGATCGTTTCGTCCTATTGTGGAACTCCTCAGCAGTATGCATCTACGATCCAAAATCACGAGATTCGAACCCAAGACCTATCAGTATCGTGTGCGAGTCCAGTAAATATTTATTCATCTATCATTATATAATATTCATTCAATCATTATAGAGTAAAATGACAACGATTGAAACGTTTTCCAGTTTTTGATTTACTTTCCCATTGCTAATGATGCATGATTTCTTCTCTATGAAAACATGAAAAATCGTGGTTCATGGAATTTAGAAAAAGTCATTTAAAGTAGATATGATCCATCATTACTTACCTGACAAATTACAGAAATGTTCATATATATCACAGTCCTATTCGGTTTATTTATGTTACCAAGTATATTAGATTATTCAAACAGATGGAAACAAAATCTTCTTAGAATTCTATTGAGTAATGAAACATTAAACTGCGAATTGGTTAATTTGATAAAACTAACCGTTTGTTTGTTTTTTTGGGTGTGTGTGTGTGTGTTTGTATAGTTTTTTTTGTGAATGAATGATAAACGTGGTATCTCTTATTGGTATCTCTTATATACAAGATTCCATCAGCAATTTAGTTTAACTGGTGATTAGGAAGAACTATGAACTGTTTAATTGTTTTTTTTTTGTTTTTTAGTACTAATTGTAATCTAATTTACATAGTTCATCATATTTATGATTATTATTGTTTTCTGTTTGATGTGTAATGAACCTCTCCGGTAATCTTCAATGGATGTGCTATTCATGTCTTAATCAACCATGAATTGAGTTTTTCATAGATCATTTTGTAGTTTATTTTGATTTTTTTATTATAGACTTTATGCATAATTCTACCATAAGGATTTAGGTCTTAGGTGGATTCGATGATTATGAATCATTAGTTCTACATTATGCCTATTAGTCTCATAATCTATTCAGATGCATTTGTGAGAAGTTTTTGCAACATTTCTCTATACATTTTACAAAAACGCTCATTCAAAGACATCGTAGTTGTTGGCAATATTCATCAAAAAGAATATACATTAGTCAGTTATCTATTTCTGGATCGTTAACATTTAACTGGCGGCCACTTAATGTTTATCGCAAAGATCGATCAAGAAATGAAAAAAAAAGGAATTTCTTAAAATACTTTGTGATGATAACTGAATAACAACAACAACAACAACTGAGGTACAATGCAATGAGTGGTTTTATTATCAGCTGCTAACAACCATATTTATATTCAAGTGTAATATTAAGATATGATACAACATGATGTAATAAACACTGATGACCAAGAGAATTTGAACAATAATTATTATGAATTGTAACTGTAAATAACATCGAGTAAACAAGTCAAGATCATTTAGAGATAGAATTTGTAAAAAGAAAACAGTGCTTGAGGCAGTATTTAAATGATGATGTCCGGAAACTGATAAGATTACAGTTTTAAGGCTGTTTCGGATCAATATCTATAGTTCCCAGGAACTATTCATGAACGGTCTTAACAAATGTATTCTTACTGCATAACTACTAAGTGTCTAGATTATGTATATACACATTTCTCTTATCATAAGCTTTCATTTGATCTATTCACTTGTGGTCAAACATTGATACTCAAACCGAAGAATATTTTGTATAGTGTCCTGCATGTGCAAAAGCCGTCAAAACCCCTTGAAAGACGGAAATACAACTTTGGAGAGCCCCGACCAATCCATGTTCAAGAAGGTACGTAAATTTTGCCAGCCGCAGAAAAGGGGAAACAGTTCTTAGTAATTGTTAATGCTTTCTCCGAATGGCCAGGAGTTCACTTCGTGAAATCTGTATCAATGAAAGCTACTGTGGGGAAATTGACACAGGTATTCAGCCGTTTTGCGTGTTTGGATGTATTTGTACGGGAGAACGGATCATAGCCTATCTTTGAGGAATTTTCCAAGATTTGCATCATCAATACCGTTAAGCATATCGAAACACCATATGCCATCCGCAGTCTAACGTGTTAGTTAAAAGGTTTGAGGAAACATTTAAAAAAACTCTACTTAAAACTGAAAAGGAATGAGAAAGAATGTAGCGTAACGACGTTTGCTAATCTATGGCGCAATGCCGAACCCAGTAACAATTATTCAATAAAGCGCAGTAGAAACAATGTTTCGAAGGGAAAGTTGAATACTAACAGAACAAATAAAACCAAAATCTAAAAGTAGACTCTACATTAACAAACGAGTGCAAGTATATGTAATATTAGGAAAAAAAGAAGACATTTCTACCAGGTTATCAAGGATGGAAAACAAAAATGTACGGCGGTACTATAATCTATGGACGAACCAATCAGAAGCGTTTGAGAGATTTCACGATCACGGCGCCAATTTCAGTAGCTGATGTTCACGTACGATCAGTTCACAACGGATTTTAGAAAAGACATAATAAATGAGCGGCAACAACAAATAGGACTACTAAGAAGTTACTTTATTTATGACTGGGGTAATCAAATAACTTATGGATTTTGTGCAAAATACAGTGATGATGTTATCTTTCGATGGAATATATGTTGGAGGAGGTCTGCTAGAAGAAGAACTTTTTTCCCTCGATCCAGATTGAGACTAAGACAAATTATGATATTGGTCGCGAAACGAATAATAAAAGCACCACTAACACTGACTGCAACATTTTTAGATGTTACTGAAGCTTCGGCCGTTATGTGGTATGAGCATTGTAGAGATATATGCGTAATAAAAAATGACAAGTTTACACAACCGGTGTGCACACAAACAATACTAAAGCTATGTAGTCGAGGCTGAAAGAGCTTTTGCGACCTTATCATGGCTACAGAGGCCAACTATTATAGATTCATATGGATGAGTGTCACTACCGTATGCGTCACGATTTTAAAACCTCAAAACTTTTTCCTAACCATGACAAGATTTTGAACCATGTAAAAGAAGTGTAGCCACTTTTATTCTTTGGTTTTGTATAATGTATTATTACTCTATACTAACTGTTCCCTAATTGGCTAATATTTCTCAAGTTCACTTAAAATTCGTTCAAACGTCTCGCCTACAATCGGATCATCTGTAAATCATATATACTTTGAGCTAATTACTATAATGAACGAGATTTGAGTGGTTATAACCTATTTATTATTTCATACAAAACTGCGGAAAATCTTCGTGAAATATGAGAACCATACATTAACTGTTTCATTTGCAAACCTCCAATCAGTTGTCTCTCAGATTCTGTATGATTCTTCCACTTCACAATTCCCTTCTATTTCAATCCCTGTTTTCTTCAACTCAAGCTTCTTAGCCTTCCGTTACCAGGCATTCCTCTTCTGATTGATCTTACATGCAATTTATGTTGAAAGATATATGTAGCATACACCACAATACTAGCGCTGTCCGGATAAATAAGAATCATACTTTTCCATTAGTATACTTTATTGTGTGAAGACTGAGTGGGTATGAATACTTCTCCAACTAATATTTTTTGAGAAATGTAGGGAACAGAAATGACCTGTATACATCGATTCGAACCGAGAAGTTATCTGATTGATATTCTCAGTATATTTGATCAATTTTTATCATTAGACAGTGGTGTAAATTTGATTAAACGACTGAATAATCGACTATTGATCTTGTTTATTCCACCCAGTATTTAAATAATGCAAAGTAACAACGAAATAATGATTTTGAACGGTTTTGCCTGATAAGAAATATGTTTAGGCTACGATGGATTGAACATATCGAAAAAGGTCAATGGTAAACTTTTATTTAAATAACTAATTGACTCGAGATGGTGGGGATTTGTAGCTCGGTTGAATGATTTTGACAGAGTTTTGTTCTTTGATCTGGATTGTTTATTTGCGGAGCTTTCATCTTTCTTCTAGACGGCATCATCAGCACAAACTTCAGGTAATAGAAGACTTCTATAAGGACAGATAGATCAACTTACAATTTATCGAGTGTTATAACTTCAAAAAATAAAAAAATAAAATTGACAAATGTACCATTAAGATATTGATTGTAAGGTGTCATTTATTGCAATAATCTTCTAAAGAAATTCGATCAAGCAGTACGCACAAGTGATATGTTTGTCTGCTAGCTTTTCTAGCAACAAATTGTTTGAAATACATCAGAGGAATCATCATCATTACCAAACCATCAAACGTAAGTCGTGCAATTACAATCTTGGAATAGAGAACAACACTTGATCTTAAAACACTAAGATAGGTCCCACAAGTTGCTTCGTCATTTAAATCTAGGGAATAGTGTATATGCAATAATGTAACTTGTTATTAGCTAAATCCAAAGGCTACAGAAGATACTCAATTAGACAATAGTTAAATGTATTTGAAAACAATGCTGTCAATATTGGGTGTAGATTATTAATAGTGTAACGTTACCCTCCACTGTTTACGAACAGAGATCAGCGTTTTAATTTTGTTGGAACCTCCAGTGTTTACAAATTCACAAATACTTCATAATGTTCATGTCGTTTTAAATGCTTTTTGATTATGATATTGTAGGTTATGTATTTCTCATTCTAATACGGTGTCTAATACAGTCTTTTGATCTATAAAATTTAAAAGAAACAGGTATTTCCAAAAATAAAATGATTGATAAATATTGCTATAAAGGAGATAACAGAGGAGGTAAAATCAGTAAGTCAGCAACAACGTAGAAATTCGTGCATACGTATGTACATCGGTTAAAGTTGACATACAACATTAGCGAAGCGATACAATTGTCGATTTAAATCCCATAGAGGTCGAGGTAGTAAAAGTATAAACATTAGGGTTTGAAGATGTTATTCAATGAACATAAACCAGTGAAATAGCTATGGGAAGAGAAAAAAGGGACGTGAAGAATTTAGAAGATTAGAATTTGAGAGAACACAAATAGTTGATGCACTTGCGCCATTTCAAACGATTTTGAGCCATGTCACATTCAAGATCTCTAACCATCGGCTGCTACTGTCTCGTGGATCCCAACCAGGTAGTCTACCCCCACGAACATAGCTCAGTCCGCTTATCAGTGACATAATGGATTTGTGCCATGTTTTGAACTGACCGCCCCTAGCTTTCTTCTAACCTACTCCTACACCACAAAACATCGCTCATCAAGGCATTCAGTGGTTAAGAGTGACAAAATACGAACATTTCTATCACTGTTTTAAATATCATGTATGTAACTGCTCTGTCATTGTTTCACGACTGATGATGTTGGAAGTGAACAGGTTTATACTGTAAACAAAAGTCTAGTATTCGTCATAATCTGTTGTCAATGTGAATGATGGATTAGTAAATTCATAATAAAAAC